TGACAAGAAGGAGCTCTCGTCTGTGACTGATGGTGGCTGAGAGGAACTGAGCAAGCCGGACTGAGCGCAACACAACAAAGGCGCGAACGCCGCCTCTGGCATCCACGCATGCATGGTCCGGTGGACCATGGCTCTGATAGCTCTCCGATTCGCGGCGCTGGGACGGTACCCGACACCTAGAGTGGAGCACCCATGGGGCCACTCGAAGAAGAAAGGAGAGTTACTTATTCTTAGTTCTCTGAAAATTAGTCGTAAGGTTATCCAGTAAAGGCTTTGTTATCTAGCATATTGGGAGAATAGGGTGTGCCAGTAAGTCAAAATCCAGTTAGCTAAGAGAGGAGTTAAGGCGCACAAGGGGGTACGGAATCTAGGGTTGTGGAAGGAGACTTGGAGCAGAGGTTGGGGTTCAGGAGTGATTTTGAGGTGCTAAATCTGGGTAGCACTCACCATGGGTGTCTCCCTGCAAACGGCGATATGTCCTTGGCTGCTTATACACAGAGGTTTAGCTAGGAAGCTCAGCGCACTGCCTCCATGTGCAGCTCACATTGGCTGTGGTTCTTGGCAAATGTGAGCTGCAAAGCCAGAGCTCAGGGAGGGATGGGGTCAGCATACAGAGCTCCTATGGCTACTCCTTTGTTTAGGGGAAGCAGGAACAAGTCACTGCATCTGGGGAGCCACACAGAGCCAGTTAGGGAGTTTGCTGGCCCCAAGCCAATGAAGCTATCAACCAGAGTGTGTCAATGAATATTAGAAATGGCAGTTTATAGAGCCTTCTGGTTTGTAAAATGCAGAGAACACAGCTTTTACTGTATATTCCTTGGTTACATGTCCTCTGTCACTTAATGAAGAAACTGATTCATCGCTCAGTACGTAAAGACTTTTTACCTCAGTGCACCAATATTGATGTAGTCCTGCAGTAAGCCTCAATGCACATCAAGAAGCAAATATACTACACTTCACAGGATAACTGTTAGTTTCTTTATTATTTGGGTCCTGACCTCACCAATGCAGTGACCTAACTTTAATGATGTAATCTAGGGATAATGTCAAAGATCTCAGTTGGCAATTAATTCTTAAAAAGGAAAGGATTATAAATAGGTTCACATTTCCGGAGACTAGAAGGCTAATCTCACATAATAAAACAGATATATTGGACAACAAAAAGTATTTTATTAATAACTGAAGGAGGTAGCTTATAGTGGACTCCAGTCCTTCAACTTCACTTCCATGTTTCTGTGCAAGAGATTGAGATATACACACAACAAAAAGACTAGTAAAACACATGGCCAGATGTAAGTACAGTACCTGCCAAGCTGTTTTCAGAAAAGATTTGCAAAAAAAAAAAAATGTTTTTCTAAAGAAAACATTCAGATTTTAAGCACCCAAGACCAAAAATGTTTGTTGGTAACAAAACAGAGTGAAACTGCCAATCATTATATAATTTATATCTTAGCATTATCTTAACAGTACAGGCAGTCCCCGGGTTACGTACAAGATAGGGACTGTAGGTTTGTTCTTAAGTTGAATCTGTATGTAAGTCAGAACTGGCGTCCAGATTCAGCCGCTGTTGAAACTGATCAGTTTCAGCAGCAGCTGACTTGGGGATGCCTGGGGGTCTTAAGTTGAATCTGTATGTAAGTCAGAACTGGCGTCCAGATTCAGCCGCTGCTGAAACTGATCAGCGGCTGATTCCAGGAAGCCCGGGGCAGAGCAGCTGGGGTGCTGCCGGGTTGGTCCAGTAGCGCCGAGGAGCGGCAGCGCTACTGGACTAACCCAGCAGCACCCCAGCTGCTCTTCCCCAGGCGTCCCCAAGTCAGACGCTGCTGAAACTGACCAGTGGCTGACTATAGGAAGCCCCTGCCCCCGGCTTCCTGGAATCAGCCGCTGATCAGTTTCAGCAGCAGCTGACTTGGGGATGCCTGGGGGTCTTAAGTTGAATCTGTATGTAAGTCAGAACTGGCGTCCAGATTCAGCCGCTGCTGAAACTGATCAGCGGCTGATTCCAGGAAGCCCGGGGCAGAGCAGCTGGGGTGCTGCCGGGTTGGTCCAGTAGCGCCCAGAGCGGTGCTCCGGGACCAACCGGCAGCGCCCCAGCTGCTGTACCACAGGCGTCCGGAGCAAAGCCGCAGAGCACGGAGGCAGCGGGACAGCCCAGACTCGCCGTGGCTGTCCTGCTGCCCTCGGGCTCCGTGGCTTTGCTCTGCTTTGCTTCCTCTCCCTGGTCTGCTGGAGACCAGGGAGAGGGAGGGCCCCATTCGTAACTGCGGATCCGACGTAAGTCGGATCTGTGTAACTCGGGGACTGCCTGTATATAACTTAATACCTCCAACTTCCAAGTCCTATACTTGCTTCCAAGTAATGCAAGCACAGAAGACAGATATCCACACACCAATATGACAAAGTGAGATGAATAAAGCAGTCCAGTGTGAAATAAAGTAACACAGATGATGCAACATTCAATTTTCTAAAAAAATGGTGCTGAGCCAAAACGGGTTTAAAGAAAAGTAAGGGAACTCTATATTAAAGATTTACCAGTGCCTTTAAGTGTTACTGATAAGAGGTGGCCTGCAATTCAGAGAGCTTTGATAAGCCTCTCCAGTTTTAAAACTTCAAAGAGGGCAACAATTAGAGGTACAAGTTGTTAGTAAATTAGAAATTATCCCCTTAGGGCATCATCTGATTTTAATATAGTGTGTTTGTGTACAATTAAATTTAAAAAGTGTCTGAAATCATCATGGAGTTCTGAATGTTTCTGGCAGAATTTAAGAGCCCTTTGTAGATTCAGGTCATGAAACTTGCTTTGCAGTAAAGAAGATGGGAAATGAAAACCACTGGCAGAATGATTTACTAGTTAACATGAATTTCTACTATGTATTAGGAAGGAATTTTGGATTATCATGAAATATTATTTCATCTAATAAAAAATGTAGGCCAACATTAAAAAAAAAATTGCCTAAAGTTAGACACCTAAATCTATATCTAACTATTTAGGAAAACAAACTGCCATACTGTATCACATCAGTGGTCCATTTATCCCAGGATCCCAGATAGTGTTTCAGAGGTAGGTGCAAGAAATCCCACAGTAGAATACTATGAAATGACCTGCCCACAGAAAAAGTTTCTTTCTCTATACATTAGTGGCTGATATGTACCTTTTGGCATAATGATTTATTCAGATCATAAACTATTTTTTAACTCTGTCTTTTGAAAGGCTGGATGTTCTCTTGATCCATACTAATGTCTATGTCCTTTCTAAAAGTTTACTATGTACTTTGTCACAATGAGAAAATGAATTCCACAGGTTAATTATATGCTATGTAATAAAGTATAATTTTTTATCAGCTTTAAATTTGTCGTCTTGCTTATGTATGTCTCCTTAGTCTGGCATTCAATTAAAGAGTAAATAGAAGTACCTATTTTACCTTCTTTATAAATTACCATTTTATTATACTCATATCCACATTGATTATACCCATATGAACATCCTTGCTTTTAAATTGTCCCTATTTTCCAATCTTTTTTCATGCAGAAGTTTCTGACACCTATGAAACTCGTTCTTCTACTCCTATATCATTTCTGAGTTAGGATAACCAGAACTGAACACAGTATTCCAGTCAAGGGCATACCACTTATTTGTATAATAATACCTGCAGCATTATCACTTATTCCTATTAAATCCTAATATTTTGTTTAATTTAAACTGCTACACAGTTTTTTATAGACTCATAGACTTTAAGGTCAGAAGGGACCATTATGATCATCTAGTCTGACCCCCTGCACAGTGCAGGCCACAGAATCTCACCCACCCCTCCTAGAATAATCCTCTCACCTATATCTCAGATATTGAAGCCTTCAAATACTTTGAAGACCCCAAGATGCAGAGAATCCTCCAGCTGTGATCTGTACCCCATGCTACAGAGGAAGGCGAAAAACCTCCAGGGCCTCTGCCAATCTACCCTGGAGGAAAATTCCTTTCCGACCCCAAATACCAGCCAGACACCCAGAAAGTTCTCTATAGTAACTCCTGTCATCCCTCCATTGACCTATTTACCACTGATAATGAATGGTCAATTAGTTACCAAGATCATATTATCTCATCAAACCATCCCGTTCATAAACCCATCTAGTTTAATCTTGAAGCCAGATAGATCTTTTGCCCCCACTACTTCCCCACTACTTGGAAGGCTGTTCCAGAGCCTCACTCCTCTAATGGTTAGAAACCTTTTTAATGATGTGTCCATAATGACACTTACATCTTTTTCCTAATTGGTTACAGTTAATTTGGAACCTGCTAATGTGACTTAAATGAGATATATAAGTACATATCCCATAAGAAAAATCAAGCCCCTTATTTAGGCAGCTAGATATGGATTTACATGGTTAACTTTAGACAACCAATTTTACAAATTTGACATTAGCAGACAGTTACATCAATCACCATCTCTAAAACTCAAGCACCCTAAAAGATGCACTGAACAGTATCAGTAAAAAGCCCCACACACAATATATATTTTCTCATACATGTAGAAACTAACTAAAACTATTTTATTTGGTAAGTAGCATGCATATGGTTTCCACAAAAATAAAGATTCTTACTGAAAGTTTCAAGTCCAATGCTACCTCTTAGAAAACATGACTACAATATAATAGGTAGAAAACTTAATTTGTTACAGCTTCAGATCATGAAAGACTGAAATTTTGACAAATGAACTCTTTATTACTCTGTCGAGCACTCAGATTTTGACAGAACCTGGAAGCTATTCAAATTTTATTTCCATAGTACAAGTAAAAGGATGTGATTACAATGGTCACAATAAATATGCAAGATGAAAAATGAATGGAAAACATACTGTATTTGTGCCTTGTATAGTGGAAGAACTCCTCAGGAACAAACTGACACATTTAATTTTTTAGTTAATGTTTTGTAATGTCCCATAGGCTGCTGATTATGTTCAGAAAGTTCATAATTACATGTATTAAAAAATGAATCCTAATCTTACCTGAACCATTTTTCAGATATCCATTTGCATCTACAGTTGTGTACATGATGTAAGGTCCTGGCTGATTCACACCAAAGGGCTGCAATGCAAAAATGAAATTAAGCATCCAAACTTATATTAAACTTTTTTCAAGTCTAGGGATTAGTGCAGCTGAGACAACAAAATATAACTAAAAGCAAACTTCTGTTGGTTCATTGTTTAGATTGTATCTTAGATGTGGATTATTTTATTTTTAGTATTATATCAGAGTAGAAGATAACTCATTTTCAGACTATGCTAATCGCTTTGCTATCCATAAATAATGATAATCCAGTTAATTTCTAAACACACTTTTTAAAATGCTTTATTGTAAAAATATTTTTATTATACACTTGATCAAAAGTGATAATGTGTAGAAGGGTTCACTCTGTCAAGTGCTCCATTCATCATAGCATCTTTTGTTGTGGTTGATTTGACTAAATGCAGTCAAATGAAACAATGAATCCAGTCAGTTTCATGGAAAAGCAAACTTTGGGGAACATTCTGCATAATTTTCAGATACCTGTTTTCTGCATCATTGACTAAAAGTAAGTGTTTCCAGTACCGATGCTGATTCATCACCTATTACAAATGTAAAGGTGATGGTTGACTTCTACCTGACAGTTAGATAGGACCGTAGAAACTAGTCACAGAACTTAAATGAGCTGATCATCTATGGTTTGACAATCTGATTAGAATCATGATAGAAATGTAGCCGTGTTAGTCTGCAAAATGCAGGACAATGTAGCACTTTAAAGACTAACAAGATGGTTTATTAGATGATGAGCTTTCGTGGGCCAGACCCACTTCCTCAGATCAAATAGTGGAAGAAAATAGTCACAACCATATATACCAAAAGATACAATTAAAAAAAATGAACACATATGAAAAGGACAAATCACATTTCAGAACAGAAGGAGGATGCAGGAGGGGAGAAGGAAGGTGAATGCCTGTGAGTTAATGATATTAGAGGTGGGGAAAGTTAGATGTCTGTGAGCTAATGGTATTAGAGGTGATAACAGACCCAAGAAAACCAACAATAGAACACCACTTGTCATCACCTACAACCCCCAACTTAAACCTGTCCAACACATTATCAATAAACTACAGGCCTATACTGAACAGGATACCATACTCCAAGAGGCTCTGGGAGACAGACCCATAGTCTCCTATAGACAACCACCTAACCTCAAGATGATTCTTACCAACAACCACAGGACATACCACACTAATACCAACCCTGGTACCTTCCCTTGCAACAAACCCTGTTGCCAGCTTTGTCCACATATTCATTCTGCTGATACCATTATTGGACCTAACCAAGTGAGTTATAAGATCAAGAACACATATTCCTGCGCATCCAGAAATATAATTTATGCTATCATGTGCCGAAAGTGTCCGTCTGCTATGTACATTGGACAAACATCTCAGACACTTGGCCAAAGGATTAATGCCCACAAAACAGATATCAGACAAGATCACAAAGAAAAACCAGTTTCTTGCCATTTTAACCAGAAAGGACACTCTCTCAATGACTTAACCACCTGCATTCTGCTACAAAGACCTTTTACATCTGCACTTGAAAGGGAATCCTCTGAAATGTCATTCATGTTAAAATTCGACACTCTCCGGGAAGGAATGAACAAATACGCAAACTATCTTACCCATTACAAAGATAGCTTTCCCAATTATCACCTCTAATACCATTAACTCACAGACATCGCACTCTCTCCACCTCTAATATCATCAATTCACAGACACTTACCTTCCTTCCTTCCCCCCCCCTGCATCCCCCTCCTGTTCTGAAATGTGATTTGTCCTTTTCATATGTGTTCATTTTTTTAAATTGTATCCTTTGGTATATATGGTTGTGACTATTTTCTTCCACTATTTGATCTGCGGAAGTGGGTCTGGCCCACGAAAGCTCATCATCTAATAAACCATCTTGTTAGTCTTTAAAGTGCTACATTGTCCTCCATTTTGCTTATGGTACCATGGAGTTGTTTGGTGAGGAAGAAGGAGGAAGGGCTAATGAAGGTGTTGCTCCCAGTGCAAGGGGATCAAGATGAACTGGCTAAGAAGGGATGGCATCAAACTGTGCCTCTCCCGAAAGAGATGGCTCAGGATGATAAACTGCAACATGGACTGGATGATTTTTTTTCATTTTTTGAGGAGTACAGGATCTTTCAAAAAATTGCTCCATTGTAGGAAAAAACACGTTTAAACCGCGGTTTCAGTTTCAGAATGGTGCTCGCTCGAAACAGCGCCAGAATGTGATTATGCAAATGAAGCGTGGGATATTTAAATCCCCGCTTCATTTGCGCTTCTGATGTGTCTAATTTACATCCCTCTGTCGACAGAGGGGTGTAGTTTAGACATACCTTAGGTACCGGATCAGGAGCCCTTAGTCCCTTTATCTGAAAGTAGAACGTAATTTTTTTTTAAATGAAATTATATGAAGTAATTTAAATTTAAATGAAATTTAAATGAAGTTCTGTTTTTATAATGCCAAAAATTAAAAAAAGAGGGATTAATTATAAAGAATGTTCTTGTTCAGAACTACACAGTATTTAGTCAAGTTTCCAAAAGTATAAAAACCATATGATCTGGTTTGAAGGACGGCCATTTAAAATTTATGTATGGGTACTGACATTTTTTTCAGTACTATCTGTGGTTCTAAGGCAAAGACAAAGACAGTCTCTATTATAAAGAAAAGGTTTTGAAGTAGAAATCAATACGACAACCATATTTCTAGGGATTTAAAATGATTTTAAAAAGTGAACGTAAGCCAGAGGGAGAGAGTACAGGCATAGTGAACTTTTTCTATCTTTTTTTCTATCTATCAATACAGTTGTGTTATCTGCTAAGTTTTGGGAGGAGAAGATAAAGGATACAAAGAGCCATTCAAATCATGTGAAAGTAAAAAAAAAAAGTAAAAAAAAAAGGAAAAAGATAAATGGGAGGCAAATGTTTCAACTGCAATAGAGCCTTTAGGGATTGAATAACTCAGATCTATCTAAAAAGCAGATTCATAAATTAGACCTGATGATTTTCAAATTGATTTCTTAAAATGCAAGTTCAGGTTAATTTTTAGGCTAATCTGACAATATAGCTATTTTTGCAAACAGGCTTGGGGAGTTCAGTAAACTTTATTAAACTGTTCTAGCTGAGCTAAAACTTATTAAAAGTTTGTCCACATGGGAAGAAAAACATGAGGGCACTGATGTGGTATCATTAGTCCACAACTTTATTCACTTATAGTATCTGGGAGTACCTAACAACAAATTGTTCACTGCAGGAAAGAAACGGTTGAGTCCCTGCTGTTCAAGATGCAGGTGTCTCCCTTCCTCAGCCCCTTTAAAATGTGTTGAGAAACAGAGGAAGGAGCCTCAACCCCTCCCCCCGTCCCTTACTGTGTCGTCCCCTTACTCAAGCTCCAAGCTTCCAGTCTGTGACAAGGTGTATCTACCCCGCACCGAAGAGCAGGGAGTTGCTTTGGCCCCGCTGAAATGGCTCCACTCCCACAACACTGCTGGGCACACTCACAAGCGAAGCAGGGTATAAAAGGCTTACTTTAGGACTAGGCCTTCAGGGCTGTATATACCCTGATAGAGGGAACTGTGCTTTGAACTAGGCCTGTAGGACGTATATACCCCGATAGAGGGACGTTAGCTATGAACTGAGTCTGCAGACTGTTTGCCCTGGAAAAAGGGGGCAGTGACTCGAACTTTGGGGACTGCTGGAATGTCGAGGGGGCTTGCTCCTCAACACAGTCCTTTTCCAATTCATTTTATCCAATAACCATATCCCATCTATGTTGAGTACTTGCACTGGACATCCACTACAAGTTTTACATGTTAAGTTGGTACAATTATAACCTAGGAGTGAACAAACTGTGGCTCTTCTACTGTTGGAGTGCAGCTCCTGGAGGCCTCCACCAACCAGAATGGGGCTGGGGGCTAGGGGATGAAGAAGCTTGGGATCTCTGCTTTGCAACAGGATGGTGTCATAGGGGCTTTTGCACAGTATGTATGGGGTTTTGTGGATTCTGCCCTGGAAGGCACACCTGCCCAGGGATTAGGGGTTCAGGAGGAGAGGGTCTGAAGCTCCAATCCTCATCCCTTGACAGGCATCCCCTGGCTCTTGAACTTCTGTAGCTTGTCATAGGGGCTCAGAGGGTCAATAGTCTGCTCACTCCGTTATAACTTCAATCCCTTATTTCATCCCACTGAGTCCCAGACCATGTGTGGGAAAGACAAAAAAAACTCACCCTACCTGGGCCAATTTAGTAGTAAAGGCAAAACTCTTTCCTAGCCCCCAAGGAAGAGAGACAACTAGCATAATACCCATAGCAGGTGAAATAGGGAACTCAGTTCTTCTGTCAAGTACAGAGCTGGCTGGGTGCTGTCATCCTACTCCTCGTAAAATTGGCCTTTACAGGGCTGCATGGAGTATTAATTTCTACCCATCTTCTGGTCAGTAGAAAATGCAGTAATCTTGTTCTAATGTCATCCCAAATGGTCCCCACAAGCTGTAAATAAACACTTAAAGGGGCAATTTCCCTTCTCTTTCAGCTATCTGGTCAAAGACAAAATCATATAATCGTTGCAGTGGGCACATTTAAGTTGCTATTTAAGGCGCTATTATTATAGTGTTAGTAAAAGATCTTCAGTTTTTCATACATAGGGGGATTTACATCCCGTTTGACAGGCATGAAAATTATTGTTAATAACCAAAAAAAATTATACTCTTTTAGGGTGAATAATTAATTTCCTGGAAAGTTAGAAATGCAATAAAGCAACAGACTACGAATTCAAAGGAGCTGAAAATTACCTCCTTCTGAAAATTCAGAGCCAGTGTTTAATGTGTTCTCAGACTTCTCTAATGTAAAAGATTTGTCTGAAACTGTATGTACAAATAGTAGCTTAAAATTATTAGCATTATTACTATTGTTATATTTACACAATAAATACTACTTGATAAAAAGATCTTTGCCAAATGCCAGTGTGCAAAATTTAAAAAATGTAATGCTTAATGTTGTATTATGAGGGACAATAGAAGGTATTAAAGTAATTGTAGAAAACTTAAAGGGATTTGTGGATCATTATATAATAAATGGTGACAAGTGAGTTTGGAGAAGGAATGAGAAACACTTTTGAATTATCCATCACATTTGCATATACAGGAAAGGAACTCAAGAAATACTTTTAAGAGAGGCAGATGAGAAGATTGGTTTTTTACTATGTTGAGTTTAAGCTGATGCACTTACATTCAGCAAGAGATCTCAGAGAGATAACTTCAGATGTATGATTGAACAGAAAAAGGGAGATTTAGCAGTGATCTACACTTAGGGCTTGTCTTTACAACTGCGCTACATCAGCACTGCTGCATCAATGTAGACACTGGTTTTTAAATCAGTACAACTTATGTTATTCAGAAGTAGGTTTTTTCCACACCTGTGAGTCACATAAGTTACACTGATTTAAGTGGTAGTGTAGATTAAGCCCAGAGACATTAGCTGAAGTCACAAAAATAAGGCATGGGGGAGGGGAGCATGACCAAAACCTGAGGAAAATATATGGACAGTATGGGTGTGAGAAGTAGACACATTAAGGAAATATTTGATGCAGAGATGAGAGATGAATATAAAAGGTGAGTTTCATGATGATATTTTCATATAGGTTACTTATACTGTAGCAAACAGCTTCCTAATTTTTGGTAGGGGAATTATATTTACATTCAAAACAGGGCCTGGGTTCCCGTATCAGCCATTGGAAGAGTGGCATAGATCATGCAGTGGAGAGTGCTGGGACAGTTTGCTTCAAAGGACTTGTAATGCTCTAGAAGGGGGAATACACTTTAATATGACCTAGCCAGAGAGCTAAACTCTGAAGAGGACAGTACTTCCACTCCTCACACATGACAGGCCATGGAGTAACGGAGGAGAATGAAAAGCTGCATAGCCACAGGAATGGGCATTAGACCAAGTGGCAGAGCGAAATCCCCAGCCAAAAGGAGATGCCACTGAACAGTGACTAGGGCAGATCCTGACACAGTGACACTGAGTAATTTGTATCACAGGGGTAGCCGTATTAGTCTGAATCTGCAACAGTGGCAAGGAGTCCTGTGGCACCTTATAGACATGACATGCATCTGACGAAGTGCATCTTTGCCCACGAAAGCTTATGCTCCAACACTTCGGTTAGTCTATAAGGTGCCACAGGACTCCTTGCCACTTGAGTAATTAGCTTGCCCCAACATCTGTTTATTAATGTTCACTTCTGATGTAATCCCTTTTTTTTTTAATTCCTTTATCTGGCTTTTTAATATTATCAGAATAGTTTGCTATTTCCCATCACAAAACGCCTTCACAATAAATAGTTCTAAGTAGAAAGCTGGTTCCATATGAAGTAATTTCTTGAGTCCTGCATCTACCAGTATTATCAATATTTTGTCAAAATGAAATTCTTGTACATTATATAAACCCCAATTATTTTTTAAAAATGTTAATTTTACTTTCTTCCAGCTCCTCTTCCAGACTTGCTTGTACTATGAATATAAAAAAATGCCAACCAAAAATAGTTGAGCGGGTGGCTACTAGTGATGACTGATTTGAATTGTTTATTGTCTTAAAAAGTTTGCGGATTTAGATGTAGGCAGTCATGGGAATCAGATGTAATTGTTAATGTTATCCCATCTCTTCTGTTTCCATTCATTTTTATCCACTTGTGTTCTGTGTCTTCAGACAGACTGTAAATTCTTTCAAGCTGTGGCTGTTTCTTGTGTGTCTGTACTGCAATCAGGACAAAGGGGCCCCAGTCAGACTGGGTCCTCTACACACTAATTTTATTCACAATGTAAATAATTATACTCACTGTTATTTTACTAGGACAGTCATTAGAACAGAGGCCACTAAGAACTGTGGAAAAACAGAAAATGGGTTTGTAGTTATTATATTGTCAAACAATTTCACAGTAAGCATTACCTCTCTCTGAAATCTATTAGTATATGGCATCAATTCAAGTTATTCTACATAGAAGCTTGCCTCTCTTGTAAAATAGTTAATGAAGAGAATAAACTGCTGTAGTATAACTTACATTAACATTTAAAAGACTATTGATCCATTTAAATTATGCTTATTTGCAGAAGTTAATTTGCTAATCACTGCTCTATTACATTTATTACCTGATTGGTTAGTGTAGTTCCAAAGATAGATTTGCTATTTAAAAAAAATGCAAACAAATTAAAATGTATACTAAAAATAGCTGCATTATATATTTTCTTATTATCATTTATTTCAAGGACTTGTGATACTCCTACAGTTTACTTTTTTTTTTTTGGCTGAAAAAGGAGTCAGCAAATTTTAAGGCAGTAATAAAACTGTTTATATTTATGAAGAATTATAGCATGACTTCCGAGGAAAAATGCATAACAATCATTCTCTGATTATGTTTAAACCTTACTAGATTAAATAAACATTATCACTTAAATATTTAATTAAAGGGAGGACATGAAAGCAATCTGATGCATAATCCAATGTGTTCTGTCACATCACCTTGCACAAATAAAAAAAAGTGTCCTGAGAGCACACAATGGATCATTTTGATTGGAGAAGACTAAGGCCATGACTACACTAGGAAATTATTTCAAAATTATTAAATGCAACTTAAGAACTTCCGATTTAACAAATTTGAACTTGCATGTCCTTACTATGAAACCATCTAAATTAATCCAAGGCAGGTTTCATTAATGTGGATGTGCTATCTCGGACTCAGAGCCCCTGGAAGCACTCTGAGGAGCCACAGGAGGCCTCCCAGAGGTCAATTAGTTTGACTTAGTGGCACCAGAGCATCCACACTATTGTTATTTCAAACTTACAAGTTTGGAATTAGCATTATTCCTGATGAAAAGCACAAGTACAGCATTCAAATTCTGCGGCCTGTAATTCCAAAAAATGGGCTTGGTAGTGCCCATTCGAACTTGAGCAGTTTATTTTGGACTAAGGTTCAAGTGTAGACCAGAGTTAAGACACTGCCACCTCCTTTACCCTGTCATTTCTGGATAGCCCTTGAACAGGGGATGTTATCTGTCCGGCTGTCTATTCATATAATGGTTCCTTCAACACTGAGATTCACACAAAATACATGCAGCTTTTACTCAAGTGCCTGTTAATGCATTAAAATATAACTTCTTATAATTTCCTTTAATACAAATGAAAGTCTGTCTCTGAGATTTCAAATGGCTGCAGATTTTCATCTGTCATTTCATGCATGAATGGGGTGTATGTGAGTGCAAGCTCTAGAACTGAGAACCTTTGAAGTGAGAACATCACACTTACAATGTACAGATAATTAACAGATGTGCATTTCTCTAGTACTATAAACCGATAAAAGATAAACTCCAATTAATTAATTAATTAATTAATTAATTAATGTGGTGTCAATATCTAAAAGCAGAAGGTAAATGAGTTGTACTTTCCATATTTTTTGAGAGAAAGAGAGCTGAAAGGAGGCCATCTTACGATGGGGAAGCCCAAAAAACACTGTGAAACACAACTAAAGCCATATCTCCACTGTGAGGAATGACATTGTTATGATGGTCTAACTCAAAGTACAGATGCAGCCTACAGCAGCAGAAGAGGTTTTTCTGTTGCTATAGAAACACAGACTCCCTGACTGACAGTAGCTTCTTCCATTGACTTGAGGGTTAGGCTGGCATAGCTAAATATCTCAGTGGTGTGGATACAACAAGACTCTGCAGGATCTGTGAATCTGAGTGACAAGTGATAGTATTTTCCCTCAAATCAAGCATCCCTACAATTTCTTCTTTCTCTTCCCTCTATTCAACAAACATAACCACATCCTTCTCTAAGCTGTGATTAACCAACTAACCTCTTCCAAGCCCCTAGCCAGGCTCTAAGAAAAGTCATACCCAAGCTGAATGAAAGTCATAAAGCTATACGTCATCTACAGACAGCATTGGCCTCACCTACCACCTCATACATAATATACTGAACAGGAGAAGATTACACTGTTGCCAAATGCTTCTTTCACAAAAAGAAACAGAAAGGTCTTTCTCTGCACTTGGGATTAACATTCAAAATTTGTTTCAGAAAATGACACGAAAGAAAACAATTTCTTAGGATCAACACCAAGAATGTATGCCATCCCGATCAAATTATTTCTGGATTACTCTACTGTCTCTGAAATCCATCATCCAATAGGGGAGCCGACTGGAACCTTGGGCAAGGTCGGGGGTGAGGACAGCTCTATGACCCTGGAAGGGATAGGGCTTCAGGCAGAAGGCACAGGGGTATGGGGGTACTGGGCCCTCTCAGAGCTGTCCAGATCTCACCACGCCCTCTGCCCACCAGCCCTCAGTACTGCCTACAGCATGCCACCCAGGCTCTAGTGGCGATTTATAGCTGTGGAAGTGGTACTGGCTGGAGCCCCAGGACATTCTGAATTGCTGGGCCCTAGGGTAGCTGCTCCTTTTGCTCTCCCCCATCTCCCGCTGGCAGGCCTGACATCCAAGATCCAAGTGCAGGGGTCTGCCCATGCACCAAAGCTGTCTGGTATAGAGGGGACCAAAGGAGAGGGAACATTCTCTTACCTCTGAATTCAGATTTATTGGACCCTTCATGTTGTAGGGGTTAATTGTGGAAGAACTCTGTACGTCTGAAGTATAGGGGTGGTGAGGCCTGCATTCCCCCCCACCCCATTCCCTGCTACTGATGAGCCAGAAGCAAGCCTCTAGGAACATATGCCACTGTAGCAAGAATGAATTGTAGATAAGGGCAGGAACACAACAATCCTGTTTACCAAATGTACTGATCATGTAAACAAAGTCAAAGGACAAGCAGTACAGCTGAGCCATACTGTAACAAGCGATGAGTAACCCTCGGAAACTTCCTAACTGCAAGACAGGGTAAAAACATGTATATAAGCTACACAATGGTATGGCAATTTGGACCTCACCGATGGGCTTTGGTACCGGTGCCTCAGAAGCCTACATGATCTCCCGCTTCATCTGCAGCTGAAACGGGGTCCCCAGCTTGCATAAGCGATGTAAGACACTGCTTTTCGTGTCATGAGAATGGACAGCATTTTACAGTTCTAAGAAAACCAACTTTCAACTTCATGGTTGATCTCTCTTCCTCTTCTCTCTGAAAGTATCTTGCCTACTCTCCACCTCCTCATCCAAGGGAATTTTGAGGCTTGGCATGTTTTCAATGAAACATCAGTTACAAGTTCTATCAAATAAAAAAATTCTGCAAACTATCCTGGCCTCTGTCCCCAAGGTCATCACAATTTCTCTCAAAGCAGATTGTATTATTGTTGTCTTTCTGGTTGCACCCAAACATCATAAGGGAGGAAAAATGTAAGTTAGATGTGAATAATACCTAAAATGAATAAATATGTATATAGTAGAGGCATTTAAAGTCTCAGGTACAACTCCTCTCATTACTATGCATCCTGCACTCTGTGAGAACAGCAGTGATTTTTCAGGTGCAGACATCACACATATCTTACAAAAAGTCTGTAAGGCTCCTACAAGGTCTTACCATTCATACTTCTTCTAATACTGTGGAGTTGATATCTTGATCCATGCTGATGCAGTGTTTGATAGAAGGGTTTTACGGAATATATGGCCCCAGTTACCCTTAAATTCCTTTTCAATTCTACATGGGTAAATTAAATCCTTCTCCCTCCTTCCCTAGGGATGATTTACTACTTTCTAATTCACAATGTGAAGACTGTATGACATGGAAGAGACTAAAAGAGGGAACATTTTCTTACTTGTGAATTCAGGTATCAGGATTCTTCATGTCAGACAATCTCAGAAGATCGCAATATATCCAGAATTGCTTCTCCCCTGCCCCCCGAACTCTTGTTTACTTGTTAAGTAGTTAAAATGGAACAGGGAGTTCCTCTGGGAAATCTTTTAATTTAATTTGAAGTTTTGCTGTGTATGTTTCTAACTGAATAAAACTATTAATTTTTTCATCTTTAGAAACTATTATTCCACAGACTTCTGGCTGAGTGGTGGTCCTAAGCCCATGATACCTGGCTAGCCTCCATTTGCCACGGAGATAGGGAATGCCCCACTATGGAGAATGTCCAACATGAAGGGGCCTAAAATAGAAATTCAGTCTAGACAGAATTTTCCCTATCTAGCTTATGGACTCTAACTAGCCAATTTTTATAATGAGGAAAAGTAGTGTGGTCTAATAGTCAGTGAAGACTAGGAGCACGAGTTCTGGGGGGAATGGAAGCCAGCTTCTCTATAGCCTCTTCAATTGTCTCCATGTGGACCACACCCACAGGCCAGCGAGGGGCCTAGTTGTGCCGCAGCCTGCATGGACCTTGCTCATTGCTGTTGGGAGTCAAGTTTAACATCAGTTCTCTCCATTGTACTGGTATGGACTTAGCTCACAAGTCAGCCGGGAGGTCTGAGTTCCTGTAGCTTGCTGTCTCTGCAATTTCTGAGTGGGGGGAAAAGTAAGAAAGAAGCAATACTGACCCTCAACTCCTTCTCAGAAAGTGAAACGTTTTAAAGTTTAGCAATTCTGAAGGGAAAACTTCAGAAGCTAATGAATCTTAAACATTTTGTGAAAATTCTGCTACAAAGGAAAAGAAGGAGTCTGTTGCATGTGCCATTTGGAGAAAGAAAATTCTAGAGAGTTCTTCCTAAGGGGCAAGCCTCGGCCCAGGCTCAGAGTGAAGATGTGATTTGTCATGGACATGGGGAATGTTCCGCTGTGAAGACTGTCTGACATGGAGAGTACAGCAAATATGATTTTAAGATGTTGTTGGTCAAAATTTGTGTTTAATATACTTGATAATATCTTTTTAAATGCAGATAACAGAATTAATTAAAATAAAAAGGAAACAATTCTGAAACAATAAATAACCTGTTAGAGTTCTGTACAGTACTTAGAATTCTTCAACTGCAACAGTCCCCTCTATTTTTAAGGCTTATTTTTGATACTCTAATACAACTATGTCTTTCTTTTCTAGCATTATCATACTTAGTATAATAGTTAAGGTATTCACACTGCTGTCATGAAGTTCCATTGTTATATGATTTTATGGTGATCACTTACCAATAACTTTAACAAAATAAGCATCTGCTTCAAAGTTATTCTTTAATGTGTGAATGGCAAAGTCACCGTTGAAATAGCCTTTGCTTAGTACAATGATATCTAAGATTCCCTGTGAGGAAAAGAGTAAAAGGTTAGGATAAATTAGCAAAATAAAGAACATCTTAAGTAGCGCAAGTATACATCCTCTTAGAGATTTCTTAATTTATATGCTTAATGAGATTTATAAAACCACAAACAACTTTAATTTTATATTAAGATTCTAAATCACCTCGATTAAATAATTACATGTAACAAAATGGAATAAGTTTGCGTCTCCAACCACTCATCCCAAGTCAGAAGAGGTATTAAAACCCCTTTTAGAGTTCTGAACAACTTTTCCCCTTGATATTCCCACTCCTCAAAGCAATGTGCACTTTGGACAGCTGAAAAGGACTTCCTCTGAAGCCCAATGGTTGCAGGACAGTGCATCTTGAAAAGGTTGAAGTCGATGGTGGAAAAGGTGAGTGACTTCTTGTTCCATCACTGTAAGGACTTGCTGCATGCCCTTGAGCGAACCATCAAACTTGCTGCTTGGAGTTTTGTTGATTGCCCCTACAGGATGGTTGAGGTTGTCTACGTTGTGGGCATTGTCTCGCATGCATTTGGTCTATGGGTCACTGCTGCTGCTGTTGTCTTTGATAGGGGTAATTGTACCTCCTCCGGTATGGGTAGTATCTCTTGCATCGAAAGGGGGGGTGTATACATCCCCGGGGTGCAGAGCGTAGACTGGGAAACTTTTCCGGAGTGGAGGACCTCATCCATCTTTTCTGCTAACTTGTTTTTGTCAAAGGGGAGGTCTTCTACTTTTGTGTGAAGCTCCTTTGGAACTGCTGCGGAAATAAGCCAAGATGAGCGCCTCATCGCTATTGCAGTTGCAGTCATGCAGGCTGCTTGTGTCTGCCACATCCAGCGAGATGTGCAAGCTCGCTCTTGCCGCTGCAAAACCCTCCTGCACTAGGGACTTTAAGGCTGTGTCCAGACTCAGGGTTTTTTTCGAAAAAAGTAGCCTTTTTTCGAAAAAACTTCACCTGCATCTAGACTGCAGCCGCGTTCTTTCAAAATTAAATCAAAAGAATGTGGCTTTTCTTTCGACGGCGGTAAACCTCCTTTCACGAGGAAGAACGCCTTTTTTCAAAAGTGCTCTTTCGAAAAAAGGTGTTCTTGAATGCCAACAGGGCTTTTTAGAAAGAAAGCATCCAGACGCACTCGCTGCTTTCTTTCGAAAAAGCGGCTTGCTTTTTCGAAAGTTCCGCATGCAGTCTAGACGCTCTCTTTCGAAAGAGGCTTGCAGTCTAGACATAGCCTAAGAGGGGACGTTTGCTTTCTGGCAGGTATTGAAGAATTTCGAAAGTATCTTTCGAAAAAGCCTCTTTCGAAAGAGGCTTGCAGTCTAGACATAGCCTAAGAGGGGACGTTTGCTTTCTGGCAGGTATTGAAGAAGCTGTGCTATCTTTTCATAATTGTCAAAGTTGTGATTCGATAACAAGGCGGCATAATTAGAAATACATAGGAGCAGGGTTGCAGAGGAGTATACTTTCTTGCTGAATATGTCTAGCTTTTTGACATCTGGTGTTGTCTTATACTGCAGTGTTTTGGCCCGCTGTTGTGCTGCGTCTACCACCAGTGAATTCGGCTGTAGGTGGTTAAAGAGGAATTCTAGATTCTTGGAAGGGACAAAATATTTCTTGTCCGCTCTCCTGCAGGTTGGTGGCACTGAAGCTGGTGTCTGCCAGATGATGTCTGTCACTTCCATAATGGCTTCATCAATAGGGATGGCAACTTTCGCGCTCTGCCTTAGGTGCAAATTTTTCAGCAGTCGATGGGGTTTCATTTGTGCTTCTGTTATCTTTATTTCCTGGGACTGGGACACATGCTTGAAGAGGTCCTGAAACTGTTTGAAGTCGTCTGGCAGAGATGTGTCAGCTGGGAAAAACCCCTCATCCGGCGAAGAGGATGAATGGTCAGGAATTGGATTTTCAGTCTGCTGGTCCTCCGCTTCTGACAACTGTCCATCTTCCAAGTCCAACTGTTGTGTTGTGACTCCTGTGCTGCGTGTTGGAGAAGACAGGTGATGACTATGGTGTTGCTGTGGCGGAGAGTGCCCTGCTGTCGGTGGGTTGTTATGTGACGATTGTTGGTGCGCATGGTGATGGGAGTGTGAACATAACGAGTATGGAGAACCATGGCGATGATCATAATATTGATCCAATGGGTGAAGCGACGAACACCTGGGTAACCTACAACTGGTATGTCGCCTCTTGTAGGTGGCACGTAAAGAATAGTGATAGTATGGTGACCACCTATATGGTGGAGAGTAGGATCGGTGCCTGTAGTAGTCGCTATAGCCTGGGTGTCCATATGGGGAATAGTGTCTCTAATAGGACTGCTGTCTTGGGCTGTGGTGCCGGTAGGTATGGTGCAAAGGTGACACATACATTGGAGGAGAAGGGGAAGGACCTGGTGAAAATCTTGGAGAAGGAGAGTGGAGGGGCCTCTATCGTTGTAACAGATGCCTTCGCCGGAGGCTCTGCTTCTATCAATGCCATCTCCGGCTCCTGCTCCGGTGTTTGAGTAAGTTGTGGCACCGCTGTATTTGCCAGCGCTGGGACTGTTTGTAACGCAAGAGTACCACATGGCGCCGGCAATGGTGCTTGCTGCTTTGCCTGAGCCGGGAGAATTCCTTCCAGTGCCACCGCCGTCTGCGTGGTTAGCTGTTGCTCTGGTGCCGTTTGCGGAGTTGAACGGAGCAGTGCTGGCGCCCTTGTAGTGCAGGCGCTGCTTGTTGCCCCCGAGGCTGCTTTTGGTGCCGAAGAGGCTCTTTCGGATGCCGCTGCCTTCTTCGCTTTTGTCCCTGACCCAGGTACTGAGGATCCTTATCTCCCACCGTCCTCTCAGGCGGGAGCGATCTGGAAGGGGAGAGTTTCTTCCTTTTATCTGTTGACAGCTCAGGGGAAGAGACCCTTCTTTTCTGGGTCCCCCCAAGTTGGCCAGCATTCAAAGTACTGGGGTCTAGTGCCTTGTCCAGAAGGAGCATCTTGAGGTGAATTTCCCTGTCTCGATGATTGCGGGTTGTCATTTTTGAGCAGTGCCCGCATTTTTGGGTAACGTGGTTTTCCCCTAAACAGCGTATACACGCTGAATGCCCATCTGAAACTGGCATGGGCTCACTGCATAGGGCACAATTTTTAAAACCTGGAGATCCAGGCATGACTGGGTTAAAGTTTTTCTGTTAAATTCCTGGAGGCTAAGCTGTTAGTCAGTTACAGGAGGGAGCCTCAGTTACAGGAGGGAGCCAAGGGAAGCTGAGGTTTCAAGGAAGTGCTAACAAGTTTCTTTTCCTCTTTTCCTCTTTTTTTTTAAATAGATAAGAGAAGAATAGTGAAGAAAGGGGCTAACTATTTACAATTAACTAATTATAGATCCCCTGAAGGGAAGGAGAATTGCTGAAGGGATGAGAGAATCGAAGCTTCTTCTGTGGCCAGGGACAGTTGAGAAAAACTGACAGGTAAGCCGGGTGCACGTGAAGATCAAAGGTGCGAACGGTGTGTGCTGCATACCATCCATGCGTGGCCCGGCTGAATACAGCTATGCAAAGCCTCCCAGCTGCGGCGCCAGGACTAGCCCGACACCATGAGTTGAGCACCCATGGGGACCACTCGAAGAATCTGTAGTTTCCTCAAGAAGTCAGTGGTGTCTCAAAGACATCTAGAAGTGCTGTTAGAATAGGGCCCGAGGAGTGAATCAACACAGTCAGATAATCCTGCTGTCAGGATGCCTATGCCTGAGATGATGGGATGTCTGGGATTTCCAGGCTTATGGAATTTAGGTAGCAGACAGAATACTCCTAAAGTTAAAAACCAACAAATAGTAGCACTTTAAAGACTAACAAAACTAGTTGGGGATCAGGGAGTGTGTTTGGGTAGATTTAGTCCTGAGCTGTAGCAGGGAGTTTATTGAGCAGATGGTGTAGTTTATTTTGGTATTTTTCTGTAGGATCAGAGGAAAGACACCTGTAGAATGTGATGTGAGTTGTCTGGAGCCTTCTGTTCATAATCTGACCTGTTCATGACGGCTATTGCACCCCTTTAGTCAGTCTCTTTGATTATAATGTTTGAGTTGTTTTTGAGGCTTACTTCAGAACTGACTTGTTAGTCTAAAATTTACGATTTCAAAAGACAGTTTTTTAAATTAGGTTTTTCTTAGAAACCTATGTTCATAAATAACTCTTGGTAAGTTTTGAGTAAGTCCACATTATGGTTTAAAGGGCATTTTATCTCAAGGCGGTTGTTACGTCTGATTCCTGACTGCTACTCTTTGCTATTTAGGTATAATTACAATGAAAGCATCAACTGATTTTTTTTAAAAATCCATTACAACTAACAAATTACATGTAAGTGTCTCTGACTGAAATAAGATTTGTTTTCTAAGAGACTGTCTCAAAGGCCAGGTCTACAGTAGGAGTTTAGGTGAAATGTAGCCACATAAAATACATTTCTAAATGAGTCTTGACCTTAAGGGCCACTGAAGTTGATTCCTTTTCACAAGGAGTAATGCAAAATTCGACCTTGCATTGTCAAATTCACAGTAGTGTAGACCCAGCATTGAAAAAGTTGAGGTTCTTGCCTACGGGAGGTACCCCACAGTCCGCTCTGCCCAGAATTTGCACCTCTTCTGCTCTCCAGGTGAACAGGAAAAACCCTGGGAAAGTTTGAATTTAATTTCCCATGTGGCCAGTGTAGTATTCTTCCAGGAAGTGGAGTGTAGCAGACACAGAGGAGGGAAACCATGTGAGCCATTGCTCTGTCCCCGCAGTCCTGCTTCCCTCCCAATGGGATCCAGCCAGTGGGAGCTGCTTAGGGCCATGCTTTCAAGCATGTGCAATCTGTGAAGCCCCTCCGCCCCAGAAAGGGCATGTGGTGCAGACACAGACATGGCCCCAGCAACTACCCGCTTTGAGTGGCATACAGGACATGGCAGTCAGGGAACCTGCCGAAGGGTTGTGCTGCACGGCTGGCCAGGAGCCACCTAGGGAAAGCACCTCCAGGCCAGAACCTGCACCTGGCACCTTACCTCCTTCCTCCCTCCCTCAAACTCCCTGCCGTAGGTCACAAACCCCTTCTTCCCCAGGTCACAGCCCAAACCCCTGCACCCCTGTCTCAAGTTACAACACCCTCCCAGACCCTGCACTCCCTCCTACAGCCTTCCCACAGGTCAGGTTCCTCTCCTACAACCAACTCTCCTCCCAGGCACTGCATCTCCTCCCACAGCTTTCCCACAGGTCAGATTCCTCTCCTGCAGCCAACTCTCCTCCCAGACACTAAATCTCCTTCTGCACCCCAATCCTCAGCCTCATGTTACACTCTCTTCCGTCACCCAAATTTCCTCCCAGACCTTACACCCCTTCACCAAAATTCCCTCCCAGACCCCCACACCACCTTCTGCACCCCAACATAGAAGAGTGAGGCCCTTGACCACTTACAGATTCTTGGAGTGGCTCCCCATCAAAAATTATTGCCCAGTCCTGGATTACATATTAATATTAGTTGCCAAATTCTCTTAATGCAGCAATAAATTATTTTTCAATCAACAAAATTATAAATCTTTGGGTATTGTGATTAAATAGCCATAGAATAAACAGCCTTTTGTTTTAACTCTAGTGATAATGATATCAAAGGGCTGCTAACCCCCTTTTTAGTATAAATGTAAAATGTACACCAAAAAAAGTAACATGAATCTCTTTCAAGGTATTTGTTTCACTCAGTCTATCAAGCTGGAAGCTCTTTCATAAATTTCTAATGGTTACTCTTCAGTTTTAAAGGATTTGTTTTAATTAACTCATTAGCTTTTATTAGCTTGTTAGATTTTCCAGTCAAATACTAAGTAGTATGTTAGTGTGAAAGTTCAAATAGGAACAGGCGGATGGCAATAAAAGGCAGAAACACAGTAAAGTGTGCTCAACTTACATCTTCATAAATGTCAAAGAAGGTTGCCACCACAGCATCTTTGATTTGATTTAGATCAGAGAGTTCCCAGTAGACTTTAAACATACGATGTACACTTCTGCAGCTTGCATTGTTACACGGGACATTCTCTAATAAAAAGGCCTGCTGATTGCTGTGAAAGAAAATAGGCATTTAATAGCTTATCTCATATAAAGAAAGAATTTGTATATCATATTTCACCTGTAATCTCTGATACTTAAATATTTATAACTTCATACCTCTTGACGAGCAACTATAATAAAAAGAAGCTAACAATTGGTGGATACTTTACATTTATGTACAATAGATATTGTACAATAGATATTGTACATAATAGCCAAAATCACAGTAATCATGCCACTCTGGTCTATCCCAGTGAATTAAAGTAGACAAACACGACCTAATCAATAGGGATTATTTTACTAACCAGTCCCCTCAAAAACAACTTATTTTGTTTTATTCCTGGAGCAGAGGTCATTTGTACTAAATTAATTTAATGATTAAAGAGAATGTGAATTATTGTAATTCTCAATAATGTCCAGCCCAACTTAAAGCATTTCCTTTAATAAAAATGTAAATGAAATACTACCTAAATAAAGAAAATGAGCCTCTACCCTTGTATCAATATATCAATGACTTCATGAATAAAATTACTCAATGTTAAGGATTTTTTTTAGTAAATTCAAATAGTTACACTAATTTCCTAATCAATACATTTTCCATTATTATTTTAAAACAATAACTTTAATAAACCAATGGTACAATAACAAAAAAGATATAAAAATAACCTGAAATTAAACATTTGCTAACCTCCAAAAAGACAAATAATACAATTACGTTGTGACAGTACAACAAGGAGAACAAAACCTGGTGTAGTGGTGCTGTAACTCAATCCAGCAGGGAATGGATTACAGATAAAACAGAGTATGATTGGGCAGTCCCAGCCAATCAGGGCCAAGCTGGGCCCTATAAAAGACTGCATGGGCTTAGAAGTGCTCACTCTTGCTCCAGCTGTGGAGCATGAAGGACCTTCTTGGGAAGCTGCACAGGGTATCTGAAACAAAGCAGGCAAAGCTGGGAAGTTCTTAGCCTGATCCAAGTCCCATGGTGCAGGCCTAATCCAGAGGCCTGAGGGACACTAAGGCTGCAGGGAGGCAGCCAGGGCAGACGAAGGTAGCAGGTCCACAAGCCCCTTACCAATGACGAGTGGCCATTTTAGACTTCAGTTTGTCCCTGAGGCAGGGCTAGATGATGGCTGGCAGTGAGTCACTGAGGCAAGATGGGTATAAAAGGACTGGTGTTTCTTGGGAAGGGGACTGCTTTAAGGCAATACCATGAGCTTGAATGGACACAGGACCTAAAGAAGCATAGAAGACAGATAACTGATAGCAAAACACTGGTTGTCAGAGGATGCTCCACGGCTGAAGGGGGAAGAGGGAAAAATGAGTTTTGGGGAAAGATTTTGCAAGCTGATGATCCCAAAACAGATTTAAATGCTACAATTGCAATGGATAAGATGAATGTTCTGAAGTGCTACGGTTTGTTACACTGCAATTATCCCCCTCCCCCGTCTTCCCTTATTTATTCTTGGATCTGGACTTTTAATACTCCAGTCATCTGAAGAAGTGGGTTGAGCCCATGAAAGCTTATGATACCATCTACATATTTTGTTAGTCTTTAAGGTGCTGCTAGATTATTTGTTGTTTTTAAAGTGTTTCCAGTTACAGACTACCCCTCTGAAACTTACAGCAAGTTTGTGACAAGTCCAATTTCTTATTTTAATGATATTTGGTGGCTTTACTATCACAAAACAAACCTTCTGAGTCTGCCAAAGAACAGAAGTCCTGAAATGGCAAAATGATATCTCTGAAAGTCCACACTTAAAAAGGGGGGGGGGGGTCAGTAGAGGGGATAGAAATCAGCACACTATAAGTTACACTAATTTTTAAAAAAGAAAAGAGAATACATAATAATTAAATAGAAATACTGATAAAAAGCAAAGCAATCTAAGCCCACCAATCAAAGGACTCTTATTTGGGACTGCCACATTACCCTTAGTATGCTATACATAACATGAGAAAAAACATTTAATTCTCCAGGAAGTGCTGAGTATGCAGATTGGTATAAATAACTTATTTACCACCTGTGTGACATTATTCCAAACAATTTATGAAGTACAGTCAAGTGAATGTAATGTTTAGTGTAATGTGACCTTCCAGAAAAAGGCTGTATATTACTACAAAGCTAAACTAAACAGGGTGAGGCATGGCTTAAAAAAATCATCCAAGAAGGATATTCTGATTTGTGTCCACCTCAAGCTTATTTTAATATATTTTTTGGGAAATAATAGTAAATATCCACTGCTCAGTTCCTCACATGCACCTGACTGTGTGTCATTCTATGAACCTTATTCTGTGTACTTTACAATGACTGACTGTTAGTTGTATCTAAAAGAAATCTGAATGACTATTATGTAGATACAAATACATATATTGATCTTTATCTTTTATATTTATTCAATTTCAGGCTGCCCCATCTAATCTGTATATTAAGGAATATTTCTATTTTACCCTACATTTGCCCTGTAGCGTAAATAATAATGAACTACTAAGAAACATTTTATTGAATTTGTTTCAAGTAATAGTGATGCAAAGGATCGTACTGCATGTTACAAATGTAGTATTTTGTACAACAAAGAATACCACGAAAACACCTTAAAATATAGTGTTCTGTATCTTTATCTATTTATTGATCATCTGCTTTGAATATGGATAGTCGTGTTCAATTTCCTAGTTGTACACTTTATGGCCACAGACTGCTATTCACAGGTAAGGCCCACACATATGGATGTATAATAAAATGAGAATATAATATTTGTCAGTGTAAATGCTTAAGTTACTACTTTGTTCAAATGCACTATATACTTGGAAAATAATTTGTTAGGTTTTATGTTTATAGTTTAATACCCATTTGCCATGCTTTTGGTATATTACATGAAAAATGTGTTGAAAATAACTGCTTACCATTAATTTTATTACAGTTTAGAAAAAACACCTAATAATTTACAGGTGCATATAGAGTACTTAAATTAGTTTAGCGACTCTAATAATATTGAAAAGACAGTACAAAAAACTGAATACATTAGAACAAAACTGAAGAGGTTAACTTTTGTATAGTAACTTGATTTAAAGCTTCTTACCTATTTATTATAATCTGAATAGAGGAAACTCCAAGAATTTAAATACAACCCTATTCAAAAGAGAGAAGATAGATGCATTTGTGTTGCCTAGATTGGAATTCTAATCTGCAGCTTCTGATTCAAGTATTTAAGTAAATCATCCTTCATAGTCAGAAAACCACATAGCAGTCTATTTGAATTAAATCTCTTCTACTATAAGGGTTTTTTTAGCTTAAAAGGCAAACTTGGGATCAAAAAACAAGTGTGTCTATTTAAATATATTAATGCTGTCAATGTTACAAGGCTGTTATTCAAAATCAGTAGGATGTGGCCGAAGATGAAATAGCACGATCTTATTCCAGATATAAAAACTAGGGATGTTAGATAGCAGGTAATAGAACAGTCAAATAACCTCATGAATTATTGGTTACTAAAGTATTCTATATAATCTTGGGGCAGGGTTGGCAACCAGTGCACTCCAGCCCCACTCCTGGGGAGCCCCCTGCCATCGTGTGCTGCTTCTCTATCAGAGGCAGTAGCGTGGGGTGCCAGGCGGGAGCTGGTCTGTGGGGGGAGCCAGTTTAAAAACCAGCTCTCTCATGGCCCAGCTGCCTGTCACCCCATGCTGCTGCCTCTGATACATGGACCCACAGACAGAAGGTGCTGTGGGGGGAGGAGGCCTGCCATGAAGCAGCCTGTCCGGCAGCAGTCCATGTCCATGGGGGGTCCCAGCTACCCATGGACGAAGGCTGCTCCAGCCTCTGTCTGCAGAGAGCTCTGATCCCCTGTAACCTGGGACTGCTGCCTGCCATGGACAGAGGCTGCTTGTAGCCAGACAAGAACCGCCCTGTAACATCCTTCTTTGCTTGCCTGGAGCATACAGGGCACACAGAGCAGTAAGATCCTTGACAGAAGGCCCAGATATGCAGGCTGCTGTGACCCTGGATGGCTGTAAACAGAGATAAGCCAATTGCTGACCAAGAGGCTGAGGAGTGCCCTTGACTGAAACCTATATTGATACTAACACACACTGTCCGGGGGGAGGAATCTCCTGCCCAGTAAAAAAATGTCCAATACTCACAATTTAGTTATCTCTCTTGCAAGTGTAAATTAAGTTGAAACTCCCTTGTAAGAACTGGCGTCACAAAGACGGACCAACACAATTTGGCATCTTAGATAAGAAAGAGGATACGGGCTCCTATGGGTATAAAGATGGGTCCAGCAGCACACTTACTCTGAGTGTCAATCTACCATCTATCTGCTGGTCGGGGTAGGTGTTGGATCTCCCGAGGTTCCAGAGGGGACGCCCACCTCGTATTCGTCTTTCCTAGGAATTGAGAGACCAGCCCTGGCCTGACACGCTGGAGTCGAGAGGCACAGAAAGGGGTAAAAATTATACCTGGATGTGGTCCTTTGCTTAAGTACATATATACATAGTGTTAGAGCTCTTTAAAGTTTAAGCTGTCACTTGGTACCATTATTTCTATTTTCTATCTTTATTTTCTTTGTAACCATTTTTAAGATCTATATTTGCTAGTAGTTAAGAAATAGAGCAATAGCCATTGTAACCATATGAAGCTTGTTTAATAAACCTGTAACTGTTTAAGCTTTAACCTGACTCCTTCAGTTGCTGTAACAGAACCAAGCACAATTTAAAAGAACTTCAGCCGGTCATAAGGGACAGATACAGGCAGAGCTAGGCATTTGGATCGTGTCGCTTCCAGAGGACAGATCCGTAGAGGCATCTCTCAGTCTTCCCTAGGCTGCCCACTGTGAAGGGATCCTGTATCCTAGCAGTTAAAATCTGAGATGTAATAAGCTCTTCCTATAAAC